CACCGCGCTCGCAAGCACCAACAAAGGGACATTCAAAACTCGTCTTTACCGCCTTCAGAAGAGTCTACCGGTCTGGAGTGGGCCCGCGACGCCCGCAATCCGCGCAATTGGACCAAGTCCACCAAGTGGGCCGCCACGTTGACATCGTGCTTCATGTCAAGCTTGGTTTCAATCGCCGCGTCGGCATATTCACAGGCGGTGCAAGGCATTTCTGAGGATCTCGAGACACCTCATTTGCTCGCAGTCAGTGGCATCTCATTCTTCACCATTGCAATCGCAATTTTTCCCCTCGCTCTCGCCCCTCTGGGTGAATCCTTCGGACGCCAAAAGGTTTACCTCGTTTCCTATGGCATCTTTTTCTTGTTTTTCCTGCCAAATGCTCTAGCCCAGAACATTCAGACGGTGCTAGTCGCCAGGTTCATCTGTGGCGCTGCAGGCTCGGTCGGCTCAACGATGGTCGGAGGCACGCTCGCAGACCTCTGGGAGAGAGACGAGAGAGATGTTCCACTGGCCTTCTTTGCGCTCTCCGCACTTCTCGGAACACCTATTGGCACCATCGCCTTTACCTGGGCGGGTGGAGATGTCTCTTGGCGATGGATCTTCTGGACTCTGTTGGCCCTGGCTGCGCCGTCTGCCGCAGCGATTCTCCTCTTCTTTCGAAAGGAGACACTGCCTGCAGAAGCCCGGCGGCACCTTGCTGAAGCCGCGCGCAAAGTCGACTCGGCCTCGAGATCCTCGTCAACGACCCAAGTTCCCTTGCAGTCTCGATCAGCTTGCAAGACTCTGCGCGAGGCGGTCATCCGCTCGGCGCTCCGCCCACTCTACTTTTTGCTCACCGAACCAATCACTCTGACGCTCAGCGTGTGGATCGCATTCGCCTGGGGTGTGCTTTATCTCTTTCTCGAATCGCTACCTCTCGTCTTTGCGCCATATGGGTTCACGCCGGACAACATGACACGAGGGTTATCATTTACAGGCATTGCTGTGGGCGCTCTTCTCGGGTTTGTGCTACACGTCGCCATCTTGAAGGCTCGAGGAGTCGCGAGCACTCCAGAGCAACGTTTACCAAGCGCCTGTTTCGGAGCTCTTTTGTTTTCGTTCGGCTTCTTTGTCCTCGCTTGGACTGCCCGGCCTGGTCAGATACCCTGGATTGTGCCTCAAATTGGCGCAGCCATGACCATGACGGGCCTCTTCCTGGTTTACGTAAGTCATGGGAAAGCAGAATGGTGCAAGTGGGTCGCGCTCACAACCCTGTCGATGCCCTTAGACATGCATCTTTAGCTACTTTTCCGACTGCTACGGCGCTTACAGCTCTTCTGCGATTGCGGCTCAGAGCTTCCTGCGCAATATACTGGCCACAGGTGAGTTTTGAGGGGTCTGACTTATCCGGCGCAGCGTGAATTTACATTCAAAATATCACAATCTACAGCATTTCCCCTTATAGCCGAAAGAAGTGAGTGCTCCCGTGAGGGCTGGCAGAGAAGAGCTGAGCAGCTCAGTGCCTTGATTTTTGTGTGCAGTGTATGAGCAACTCACGTATCCATGGGCATCGAGTCTGCTTGGGTTCGTCGCCCTGGCCTTGGCTCTCGTGCCGTTTCTGCTCATGTGGAAGGGCCAAGCCTTGCGCAAAAGATCTCCCTTTGCCCAGTCGGAGATTGGCAAACCGTGAATCCATGCCGCTCGACCGGCTTGATTCGCGATTGTTGGTGTAGCACATACAGCGCCAATGAAGCCCCATGACGAAGGCAAGGATGAGCGGCATCAGAGCCGATCGACCGGCAGCTGAGCAGCTGATCGGCTTATTGGGCCCAGGCGCCCCATGCTAGAATGTCTCAGGTGATGCACTTTCACATTTGGCTACATTGTGATTTGATTGCGCGAATCTGGTCGATTCGTCAGCGGCCGCATGCCGCCTTAATCCAATCAATCCAATCCTCTCACGCGCTCAGGTCCAACTCGCGTTACAGCAGCATTCACGCAACTGCAAAGCCCATCACGTATATGCATCTTGCATACATATGGCCCGGATGTCATCTTGTTTGTACCACATGTGACGACACCGAAGGTCTCAAGTGATCGCAAATACGGAGTCATGATCGAGTTGCACCGGCTTCGCGTCGACACGCGATCAAGGACTGCTCAAAAAAAACGGTGCGGATGAAATGAATACTAAATTAATGTGCGCTACTTCCGAGAGCAACACGAAGATCCTGCAGAACAATATAAGTAGTGACGCGTCGCTATGTTTGCTCATTGTCGCTCCCCGGCTGACTGGGACGTCGCCCGTTCTCGGAGGTGTTGATGCGCACATGTCTAAGACATCTAGGCTTGCAATCCCGATCATGTTGACCTATTTCTCTAGCTCGTGGATATATATATGACAGAGCGCTGCTGTCCCCCTTCGCCTCAAATTCTTACGCCTCCATCGCTCTCTCTCTCTCTCTCATGACCCACCACCGCGCTGAAGTACTTGGCCTTGCACAGACTCACGCTGCTCAATGCCTGGCGTCCCTTTGCCCGTACGTTCTCTGACCGATCCAGCGCACATTTACGGCAATTTCGTACGTGCACAGCCAAGGCGAAGGGTTTTGGACCGACCAGTTGCGAGTGCCAGACCCTCGCTCACTCCATTCACGAATTGGCCAGGCGCGTTCGAAGCTTGGTTGCTGGCTGTTGCGGTCGCGAGTTTTCAGCAAATTAACTGACGCGTCGCAGCGGGTCGGTCCAGCTTCCGAGCCCCGAGCCGCGTTTGAAAAATCCGCGAGACCATGAAGCGCTGCTGCGCTTATTTTGATACCCGTGGACCAGCAGGGACCAGGTCCCGGCGGTGCTCGCGCCCCACGGGCCAGAAGAGGCCACCTCGACCACATTCAAATTTGGCTCTGCCTTTCTGACCGGCAAGCGACAAGACAACAAGGTCAAGCACCTGAAATTAAAGAGTGCGAGGAACGCCATTCTTTTCCGAGGTGAGTCGCGAGGGCCCGCTTCGGCTGCAAGGAGGGCGCCCATGCAAGCGTGGGACGCGCGTATGAGATGGCTGCTGGCACTTTAGGCGGGCGGTGCGAGGCGCGATCAAGTGCGCGCAGTCGCAGTCGCAGTCGCAGTCGCAGAGAGCGCGGTGGCCGGAGGCCAAGGCTCGCGCCTGACTGTGCTCCGGTGCAGTTGCCACAATTAAGTGTTCGACATGACAGAAATCCGCCTCTGCTACTGGCGGTACCGGTGCACTGGTGAGGACAAGGCGCAGTCAGGATCCCTGTGGCTCACGCTCAAGCAACAGCGGGCGAGCGGGCACCGTAAGTCACGCGCCTTGGTGTCGTACGCACGCGTCTTTTTGTCTCGCTGGTCTTTGCAACGATTCAGCCGCGTCGCCGAGACCAATCTAGTGGAGCCGACTTGCGAGGGGGTCTCAGACGCGCAGAGTGTGCCATAGAGTGCGATTCTTAATTGCGTCCGCACTCGCCATCTTGGACTCGCGTCGCGCTGCCACTGTCTCGGATGAACTCCACTCCTTTGATTGATGGACGCTGCATCCTACAGCACCACTGTGCTACACGTGCAGTGCGATTCTCCTCGCTGCAAACCCCCCCAAGACCACGCGCATTGCAGCTTGGGCGTCAAGACAATGGCGCAGAACCGTTGTTATTGTGTGGCGGCGCGGCCGTGCTAAACAAGGTTTCACCTGTGCTTCTGCAGCAGCGCATATGGCTTAGCGCGGGCCATCCGCGAGCGGACCTTCTTTTGCAGGCTCCAAATCTGTGTCCATGGCAGGCCACAGCAATCGCTGTTCGATTGACAACTCAAACTCAGACATCTTCTCCATTCGCAGCTAAGGGTCCTGTCCAGCCGACTCGTATATACCCTTCTCAAGCTTCAAATGGCTCAACTCCGCGTGCTCTTGTAAGAGCGTCAACGGTTGGAGAGCGGTCTGCTCCATCTTCGACTCTTCTTCACGACCGTCACGTTGACTTTCTGCGCACGCCCTATCAAAGAAGACACGCGGCTTTCAAGGCAAAGCCATAACCTCGATCGGTGGCGAACACGACGAAGCTGCTACTGCACGTGGACAGGCTGACGATGACGAGCGCTTCCCAGCGCATGCGAAAGTCCAGCGCGCCTACCAGAGGTCTGTCTTCGCACCAACCCGCCATCTCATCCAGAGATCCACACCAATTGGTCGCACACCTGAGTGGTCTGCACTCGAGCAAGGGAGTGAAGGCTAGCAACCGATTGAGCGGCCGTCCCTCTTCGTCAGCTGGAGAGGCTTCATCGCTCGTGCAATCGCGCCCCGTCACAAAGTCAGAGCAAGACGAGCACGAGTTCGCAGGATGGACTAGAGAAGATGCCATCGAGCGCTTGACTGACTCTGCAGAAGACCGAGACGTTCGGGAGGACATCATTGCGGGCGATGCGCAAGTTCAGCAACAGGCGAGCCCGTCTACCTCGTCGAGCATCTCCAGATCAATGTCCTTCAGGAGATGGGGCGGAGGCGGCGAAGCTCAGTCCGCGCAGCCTGCCAAGCATGCTGCAAAATCCTCGTCCGCGTCGGGAGGCCTTTCAAGGTTTTTCTCGAAGCGCAAGCCAGCACAAGACGCCGAGCAGCTCGTCAGCGTGAGTGCGAGGAGTGCCGCGTGCTTGGCAGATCATGCAACGCTGACCACCACTCACATTTGGCCTCTTGCGTTGCAGCGCAAAACCTCTGCAGCACATATGAGCGCGGCACAGTCAGGGCGCAGGGCCTCCAACCCCTCTGGGCCGGTCGAGAACGACGCATCAGTGCGAACCTTTGAGTTCCCACCCCGAAGCTCGATCGCCTCCGCAAAGGGGTTGCAGGAGCCAGGAGCCGCGCAGGCTGGCCCCTCGGTCGAAGGAAAGCGCTCCACGCAAGGCTCTCATGGCCCCAGCAAATCTGTCCCTGTGGTAGATGTCGCTGCTCTCCAGCAAACAGCGCTCAAATCTGATCCTGATTTGCGATCCACCGCTTCTGGCCCTTCGCAGCCGCGCCAACGTCCATCTAAAACGAGCTCAGTTGGCTCGGTCCAGGAGCGAAGGAGGCGCACGAGCCTGGCCGGAAGGTTCGGATCGCTCTTCATCGCTTCGAATGCCGATGCACCGCCCTCTACTGCTCAGATGGCTTCGAACGACACCCCTCATTCAGCGCCCACTCATCAGCAAGCGCACAGCGCTAGCTCCATTCGCACTGCGTTCCCTGCGCGTTTGCGGAGCTTGAGCTTCGCCAGGCGAACAGGCACCACATCAAATCCCACCAGCCCAGGCAGAATGTCCTTTTTCGGCTTTGGGGATCTAGCAGCGAACGCGGGCACCTCGGATGATGGCACTCGCTCTGACGCTGCAAGCCACCGCCGAAAATTGAGTCTGCGCTTGAGAGCTCCTCATTTGCGTGCCCAAGAGGAGCGAATGCCTCTTACGCCGGAAATCGACTCTTGGCGTGTACCTCAGCGCAGAGCGAGCGACGAAGAAAAAGAGGAATTGTCGTACGAAGAAGCCATTCGTGTGCAACGGACATCGCAGGAGGGTGTGCCTGCAGCAAGAAGCAGCTCGATCGACGGCTGGGTCGAAGCTCCCGACGATCATGAGGCTCACAAGCGCGCTCCTCTGCCGCGAGGTCGGTCTCTGGACTCCGCCAGGCTTTTGCGGGACAGGCCGACTCTCCCGCGCTCATCATCGCATGAAACGCAAGCCGGCCCGCAAACCGCAGGCTCGTCTCCGTCCAACAAACGCAGAGCGCCCCCACGCTTCCTGGAGACTCCCGATCTTGCTGGACCTCTCGACCCACGCGCTTTGATGAGACAGGCAGGGGTCTCTCCGCTTTCGAGCCCGAACATTTCCGTACCTGGCAGTCGCAGAACCAGCGAAGGGGCCGCAAAGGGTCAGACGATACCAGATGAGGCTTCATCTACTGCCCTCCTCAGTGATCAGATTCCCCTGCAAGCAGACACACAGGCTACGCCTCGTGCGTCTTGGCAAGCTCTGCAAGACGTGACGCCACGAAGACGCCAAGGTGCCGATCAAATGTTTGATGGGCTCGGACTCACTTTCGACGAAAGGTACGACAGAGTTGCAGCGCGCGAGGCGGCGTCCGCGAATGCGAAGTCGTCTCTTGAGGGTCATTCTGGCGGCGCCGACTCTCTGCGCCGCGGCCGAGCATTCGTTGCCGACTTGTCAGCATGGAAGTGGGAAGGAACAAGGAGCGAAATCGATGGCTCCGATGGCAGAAACACTCCGGGAACGATCGACTCGCGGCGACGGCCCGACGCGCCGACACCACATCAATGGGCAGCTGAACGCAGCAATGGCTCGGCCAGGACCGATATGCGGCCCTACAGCCTCATCAGCACAGACACTGACGGGGGCGACACGCCAATCATGAAACTTCGACGTTTGGTGGTAGACACCGAAACCGAGGGCGAGGAGGCCAGCCTGTTCTTTCGACCACCAGGCACAAGGTCAAACAGTGCTCCGTCGAGCACACGGGATGTACAGAGTCCTCGGTCTAGTCCGGATAGGGAGTCACGTACCAGTACTCCGCCGGTTCCCGAGCTGACGCCAGCGCAAGCGCACGCGGCCAACATTCGGCGCATGCACATGCAACAAGGCTTAGAAGAGGATGCGAGGACATCTCCCGTCGACGAACTTGCAGAGCTGCGTTCCGGCAATGTCGATCATGGCAGACTTGCTCGTCATAAACGCACTTCAACGACTCTATCGGCTGGTGGTCGATCCAAGCGTGCAAGCACACAAGAGAGCGATGCAGGCGCGACGGACACGTCGGCGCTCGATGCGCAGGTCTCGCAGGCGCGACGGATGGCAGCTGTACCTCTTGGACGAGCCAAGGTTGCGGAATGGGCCGGCAATGCTGCTAGCTCGGGCAGCGCAGTGCCTCGAGTCTGGCAGGCACCGCAGCTGGAGGCGTGTCGAACTACAGCTAGAGATGGTGCTACCGCCCCCACGCCTGGTGGATCGCCAAGCACCACTGCGCAGAGTCCAGAGGCACCCTCCCAAGTGATATTGGGTCCTACCCAGAGTCCCTCTTCACGCTCGCCAATTCAGCCGAGCGGGCAGGTGCAACGATCTGCGCCGACACAGGTAACGTTGGACGAGGCTGCAAGGCTGGGTAAGGCGCCCTCCAAACGCGTACGACGGTCGCGTTCGCAGCCCATGTCTAGCAGCGTGTACGTGCCCAAGACGCCTACGCGCGGGCCTGCTGCTCTGTCGGGCCTTCCGACGAGCAATGCTCTGCCGTCTTTGCCTGCGCTGCCACCTGCGCCGACTTCAAGAATAAGTGGCAAGCGCAACACTTCCAAAGGTCGCAGGCACGGCATGGCTTCCCAAACAAGTAGCGCCAATCAAGATGAACGTGCCCTGGAGACTGCCCGCACTCTTCGCCCCTCCCAGAGCGGCAACTTGCGTGAGGGCACTTTTACTTTCCGAGCAGAGATCCCCTCTCAGGAGAAGAATCCGCCAGCGACACTATTGCGCTCGGACACTCTGCGAAAGTCTGCTAGCGCTGGCCCCCTAAGCGACTGTGGCAGCCACGACAGCAAAGGCGCAGCTGACGCCCACGACACAGCATCCACTCGCGCGACGCTCGAGTCGCCGACGAAGTCCCGCCGTGGTGGTGGTGATGGTGGCTCGCGCTTGGAGAAGCGGTCTGAAAGGACTTCTCGGCGAGAAGAAGGGCACGACCGGTCGCGCAGTAAAGGTTCATTGAGGAGAGGAAAGTCGTTCGCCACGAGCGAAGAAGCCGCGCAAGCCATGCGCCAAGAACAGGCCGATCGCGAGAAAAGGCATCGCGAAAAGGAGCAGAAACGCGAAGAGCGGCGGCGTCAGGATCACGCCAAGCGTAAACAGAATGATCCTCTGTTAGCCACTCGTCTGGCTCTTATGGGTCTGGCAGGCCCAATGCCCGTAGGCGAGGGCTCGGAGGCCGCTGATGATGTCGCTTCCGCGGCCACTGTCGCTCATGACAGCCCCGAGCGGATGGTGACGCCTCTTGGGTGGGACCTGCGGCGAGAGCCATTGAGGCCGATCACCGTCTCGTCGCCACCTGCGAGCAATGAAGAGGTCTTGATCGCTGAGGCGCCTTCTCTCCGGGGAGAGTTGCGCCAGACGAGTCGGAGCACGCCTTACAGTGAGAGCATACTAGCCTCCACGGTGGACTCGAGAAGATCTTTCAAGACGGCAGAAGAATATGTTCGCCGGTCAGTTGATGGAGACAGCTCCGATAGCGAGGCGGAGACGCTTCACCAGCGATCTGCGATTGCCGAAAACTCGTCTCGCCCGGTGCGAGATCGTGCAGAGCGCGTGCCCACCTTGGTGAGCCCGCCACCAGCCAGGCCCGTCTCTTCTGCGACAATGGCCACCGTCACGTCGACGGGTACCTCATTCGCCTTGCTCGATTTCCCCAAACCGCCTTCACGACAAGCTTACGCAGAGGTATCAGACGACGGGACAGTGTTGTCCTTGGCACACTTGAGCAGCTCAAGAGCCATCATGAACGTCGCTGCAGGCGCGGCTCGCGCACACGAAAATGCGCACCCCGAGCGCGAGCAGGGGCTTCCATCGACGTCGCCTGCATATCCAAAGGGCAGATTGCTTGACCTGCATGGGCATGCGAGACCTGTCAGCGGCAGACTGGGCGACTCACCGAGAGGTCAAGTACCGGAGCTCGTCTCTCTTGGTCTTCCTAGTCCTGCTTTGCGTTCACAGCACGCCAGCATCATTTCACAGAATGCGCCGCCGCCATAGCCCATCTGCTAATTCCGTGACGGAAATATTTTTCATTGCCAGCCGAAGAACGTCAATAATACTCACACTGCCTACACCTCATACCTGCTGCCGAACTCTTGTACATTACAGACACCATGCAAAGACATCCATCCAGCGTCAGAGTGACGCTCACTCGCCCTGCTGTCAAATTCGGCTCTGCAGCCAGCACCGCCAGTGTGGACCACGCGGTCTTACCGTGCGAGAGCCCCTGCGACACCGAGCTGCACTTCCATGTGCAAATCGACGTGGCGCGTTGGATAGGCGCAATGGACGCAATGATGACAGCGACCATCTCAGCGCTTCCTTCCCAAAACTTGCTTTCCCGTACGCCACTCACTCGCGACAGTGACTCTCTACGCTGCCGTCACGCTTTCGGCTTTGACCTGCCGCGCGAGCGGCTTGCAACCGTCGCAGCGCTGACGCGTGAACGGTGTGCGCGCCCGCACCTAGGAATTCTCAACCTCCGCTTCTCGCCCGATCGAACATGTCAGCCTTCGCTATGGATGGCTCACTCAGCAGCTCCGCGCTCGCTATATCTCTGAGCTGCAAGAGCGCTTGGTCATGCCGGTGGCATTGTCTGGCCTGATGCAAGAGAGCAACACTCACGAGTGTCGGGCCGCGCAGTTCCGTACGCGTGCCGTTGTACCGGTCGACGAACATCTATTGTGCCGCGATGACGCAGGGGAATGCCAAATTATCAAGCGATCCTGCATCCATCTCCAACCTCAGCAATCAAATCACGAATGCCGACGGCAGGTGCGGCACTCGAACAGGCCGGCGTCAATGCCAGGAACAATGAGACAATGCCAGCCTTGCGGAACAATGCATTCGCCAGCAGAAGATGCAGCGCTTGCCAAATCGAGATTGCCGTCCAGGCCTGTGGGTGTGCAATGTTGGCCTGCTGCGCGCACATGTCTCCGGGATTCGATGCGCCTTTCGCATCGCACTCATCAGACTCTGTGCAGCTCAGCTGGTCAGCGATCTTCCACCACTTCCTCCACCCCAATCTCCACTTCCGCCGCACTGAATCTTTCAGTCACGGCCTGACATTCCCTCTACCCTTTCTTCTTTTCGCAGCTCTGGCAGCAGCACTTTTTACCTTCTTTCCATCTCACATACATTCCCAGTCACTCCTTAGCGAGGGCGCTGAGCGTTCCTCGAAGCTGTGCCCGCTCGACGCAGGGCCATTCCTCGCCGTTCTTTACATTTCGACAGGTTGAGCGGTCAATTTTCAATGGAGCTTCTACCTCGCCGGGCCTTCTTTGCGCTCTTGGCTTTAGGCATCTGCACGGTCATCCAGACAAGCGCAGCAATCGTCCCTCCCGTGTCGGCATCTCACAACTCTTCTACAGTCGCCACCGTCGCCACCACAGCATCGGCGCCGATCAGCATTCAGACCGCCCCTTCGGAACCGGAGCCGTTGTGGGGGACGCAGAGCAATGGATGGGTGTATGCTGCTGGGGTGCATCCAATGAGAGTCTCTTACATGGGAGGGGCAGAGTTGGAAGGGCTGCCAGTGGCCGCCGGCGTTGACATGGGTGATGTCACTCAATCGTCAGAGGATGGCGCTCAACCTCGGCCGTCTTTGGCCTCGTCGGCCGCCTCACCACCCTCATCCACCGGACCGCCGCAGCTGGCTTCTCGCACGTCCAACTCGATGCAATTGCCAGCAAAGGTCGAGCTTGAGCCAGCGACTTTGCAGTCCCTAGAGCCCGCTCGGCCTTCGCCTGCGCATAGTCAAGCGCGTCGGAAACGAATCCAAGAGCGTTTGGCGCGTCGAAGGCGGTCGAGAGAGCGCAGGCAATCGCAGAGGACCCCCAGCAAGCGAGCCAAGGTTGTCAGGTCTCGCAAGCGCTCGTGCCATGTGCAGTCCGCACTGAAGCAGACCGCCTCCGCCACCTCTTACACCACGCCTCGCGATACGGTCTCCGCAACCAAGCCATCCGCGCCTCGACCGTGGCAATCTGAAGCCGCTAGTTCTGCGTGGGCTGTACCTACTGCCAAGGTCGCAACTTCAAATTCCGTCGAGTCGTCGGCTACGCGTCCCTTGACACTCAAATCGCAAGCCAGCGATCTGGCGACGGCCCCTTCTGCTCTCGTCATAACCTCGAACAATGCCAACTATGGACCAGGAGAGGTACGACAAGATCTGCGAAAGATTATGAAGTGGGCGTATGATGAGGGCAATCTATCTTCTGCTGAAGAAGATGAAGTCATCGCTGCAGTGCTGTCAGCTTCCGCGAGGTACTTTCCAGAGGTGCCCACCAGGGCAATGTGCCGCATCATGCTGGCCGACATCAAAGCGGAGAGCGATTTCCAGCCTAGACTTTCGAGCGCAGGGCGTCTGGATTCAGGAGCGAGCTTAGGTCTGCTCCAAGTCTCTCCCGGGGGCGGATCGCAAGAGTTGACACTGTGGAAGACGCACGCCAAGGTCAGCGCCAATACCTTTTCTTGGAATCGCGATGCGGGAAATGGTGCTGGTGCGCTTTTGGATTGGCAGACGGGCAGTCAAATGAAGTTGTCTGCACTGAGCAACAGCGATGTCTTGCGACCCTGGGTAAACATCCACCTGGCCATGTGGGTGCAGAGCAACAGTGCTCGTACCTCCTCGCAGGACCCATACAATTGGGCGGCAATTTCTGCAGCCTCTGCCACCTCTTCCAAGGGAAACAGCGCCAAGGTCAACAAGTTGCTTGTGGGGGCCGGTCTGAATAGGTCTGTCAGGACCGGTCTGGGCACTTGGGTCGCTGGCGCTGCTACAGATGGTGCTGGTAGCTACAAGCAGAAGGGAGATGATATTTCGGAACAGTACATCGATAGCGTGCTGCAAGGCGTCAGCGTCCTGTACGGGAAGACGATGACAGCAGACTGGTTAGATCGCTGGGTACTCAATGCTGGTCTCGTTGACTATCGATAGTTGTGACAGTGGTCGTGGAATCACTACAATTCGATTTATTACCAAATTTTGCCAATGAAATTTTTCGCTCTTGCGAGACGAATTGGAAGCAACAAGCTGAGGGGTATCGGGCGAGGGATTCAGCTTCATGGGAGGCGTCGATGAGACGGGCTGTGGAGTGAAACCTGAAACAGTGGCAGATGCAGCGAGAGTGAACGGTGGCTGGGTGAAGGACGCTGATATTGAGTTGACTTGTTTATGGGCGTCGAGAGAATCTCTGTGCTTCTCTCCACCGGCCTCAAGGAGCCAGAGTCGGGTCCTGTGGGGCAGAGAGATGGAAGTCAGGGCGGGGCGTCGAGGTAGGTCGAGGTAGAATGAGATTGAGGTTTTGGTCACCTGGGCTTCTGCAGACTTACCTGCAACACCACCAGCAAGTACTTTTCGCCTGTAATGCGCACGCGTGAGGAGGGTCAGCTATCAAAATGGAGATCAGGGAAGCTTTGCCGCGTGCCTTTTTCCTCTGCCAGACTCACTGGGTGAGATCATCATCTCGTAGCGGCCCGTCCTGATGCGTAAGAATCCCAACTCGTCCTATACAGCGCAAGTGGGCGTGTGTGAGCTGCGTTCGAGCGAAGATGGGCAAGCGCCTCCGCTGACGCTGCGACCAGGACCAGAGGTAGCCACTGCTGCACTCACACCTTCCTCGATCTCTGCAATCTCCTTGTCCAAACATGCCGTCACATTCCTGACCATCCTCGTAACCTTTCTCAGTCTGTCTGCCCTCTCTACAGCTCCTGGTCCACTGGGGTCAAAGTCTTTTCCACCGGCTCTGATGACCAAAGCGTCGGGTCTGGAAAGGACCAAGCAGCCAGTCACGTTTCTGTGAGATGTTAATTTGCTCAAGGTGGCCTCCACTTCCGCCGGTGGTGAGGGCTGGGAGGAGGAGAGCGACGCCATGGGTGGCATTGGGGAGCCAGGCGGAGGAGGGGAAGTCGAGAGATCATGAGGCTTGAGAGCCACCGCATCGGGCGAAAGGGCCACCTTGGGGGATGTCATTCTGGTCCTGAAGGCGGTACTCGCAACGGGGGATTGAGAGCCTAGCTGTGAGGATGCTGAGCGACGCGTGCGGACAAGGAGACTATGTGCGGCGGGGGGAGGGGGGGTATGAGTGCAGCTGCTGCTCTCTCGAATTGCGGGGCGTCACGATGATTGCAAAGATCCTGTGCGAGCCCGTGTGCACGAATTGGTGAGGTCGAAGTACTGCGTTTCGACAGATAGGCAGCGTAAGTGGTGGTGATAACGACGTTGATATCTCTCGATGTGTTTGAGTAGAAAGTATTCCAGCGCTAGCTGCGCGCATCTAAATATCGGTATGCATGCATGCATGCCTGCATGCCTGCATCGAGCTGCGTCGCACGCTAGGGCGGCGGGCGGATGTCGCACCCAAAAAGAGCCATCTTAATTGGCGCCCGAGCGCGCAACGGGCGTCAAGCTCTGCTGTGTACCGGTAGGTCCTTGCCCCTCATCCTGCTTCGCCCTGGGGGCGTGGGGGCTGGATGGGGGCTGCGAGCGAGATTCACGATGCATCATCACGACTCTTCCTATTACGGACATTCACAGATTGCGGTGGTAAATCGCGACTCTCGACTAGATCAGCGCGTGTTGAACGCACGCTTGGCAGAACCCGCAAAGCGCCTCGTCATCTCGATCAAGTAATGCAGTAGCGCAGGGGCGGAGTTGCTCGTCGCGTGCGTGCGTTCAGAGGCGAAGCTTTTGGGCCTCCCCCCGATCCGGCAAGCTTTCAAGCTCGCGGAGAGCGCAGTACTCCTCGTGGGCTACGGATCACAGCGCTGAGATGCCGCACATCCTCTACACAGTACTGGAAACGGGTGCCTCGAAAGCGTGTGCAACAAAGAGGTGAAAGGGTGATTCACGATGCGTGCGAATCCTCTGGACGGGAGGGAGCGCAGTTGCCTATACAGGGCGCCCGTGCCACCACCCGGATGCCTGCCTGCCGCAAACCTAGGTCCAGGCCTCCAATCCATGTCTTTTTGTGCTGAAATTTGAGCCATCATTCCCAAGCCAGCTGCGCTGCTGTTAGAGGGGACGACCTTTGCGTGTATCTCCC